ATATATATATATATATATATATATATATCTATATATATATCTATATATTGTGTGTGTGTGTGTGTGTTATATATATATATATATACATATACATATATATATATATATATAATTTTTCTGAGTCAGGGTGATGATTTTTGTCTAAATGTCTTTTTTTCCTGGTCTGTGTTTTGTAGGTCTGTTTGTATTTGAGGGTGTAATGATAATGTATCTGATATCATTTCTGTCACAGCCTGTCTCGGTGTTGTCTCTCAGAGAGAAGCTGTGCAGCTTTGGCCTCAGCTCTCAGCTCAAACGCTTCAAATCTGAGAGAACTGGATCTGAGTTATAATAGTCTGTGTGATTCAGGAGTGACGCTGCTCTCTGCTGGACTGGAGAATCAACACTGTAAACTGGAGACACTCAGGTATTAATTCATTGTACTGTTCTGCCTCCTGTTTTTGTGCTTTATGTGTTCATGTGTGTGTATGTTTGTGTGTTTGAAGGACAGAAAGAGAGACATGATGTTTATTTGTACTTGTAGTAATTTTACACCTTACTGAAAATATAAGGAGAGACAGTCTGTTCTAAGCTAATGGCTAACAGTGATATGTGTTCGGTGTTTAATGACGACTATTTTATTTCACTCATGAACGTTTCTTTCCTAGTTAGAATCCAGTTTCTGCTGGAGTGAAACTGCAGGTGTGTAAATTTGCGGCTCTGCAGTCCGAACGTTCCTCAGAGTGCATTTAGGGCGGAGAGGTTCCTGCAGGGCGTTGTAAGGAAAAAATTGTACCCAAAGAAAACATAATTTTTCAGTTTAGCACTAGTTTAACATGATCAGCGTGACACATAAAAACACATGAGATACATGTAAGTTCACTGGTCATTTTGGACAGCAGATAAAATGGTGATATTTGTAGTGCAGACATAAAGACGTCTGGTTCCTAGTACTATAATGGAGAACAATTTTGACTGTAAATTACTTTAGAAAGGAACATTTCATACCAAACTACTCTGAATGATTTTGTTTTACATCTAAACCATTAAATGATCAATTAATTTTGCTAAATGGTTGGAGTTCCCCTTTAAAGAGAAAGTGTGAGACTGTTGAATGAGAACTGGGTAGATCCTTATTTTACAGAACAAGAGTTAACTAATATTTAATTAAGGTAAATATGTGGTACTTACGAGTAATTTTTTGATACATACTTTGCAAATATTTTGTTTTTTACATAACACACTACTAATTACTTACAGCGGCACTTATTCAGAAGTTGAAAGGTAAATATGAAGGTTTTAGTGATTCAGCCTTTCAGTGAGTAAGAAGAACCAATCAGCTGGTAAAACCCTCCAACAGGCGGAGGAAACTTAATGTGATAAACTTACCAAGTCTGGAATAGAGAGCTGTGTTTCTCAGATACAGCAAACAGAGAAATATTATATTAGACACAAACTACAAGGAGCAGAATGGAACTGCAGGAGAGAACCACTAAAACCTGCTTCTGCACTGAAGAAGATACTAGAGTGTGTGGTAGTGTTTACACAGTGAAGGACACTTTGTAGATCCTGCTCTAATAATAATAATAATAATAATAATAATAATAATAATAATAATGGCAACAGTAGCAGCAATAATAGTACTAGTGATAACAATACTAATAATTGTTTTGTGTTTTGTTTTTGTTATTTTTACTGTTACTAATATAATTTTTTCTCTTGTTTGATGTTGTGATTTTGTTCTCGTCTGACTGGTAGAAAATACTGTGATATAAATTTGAGTTTATATCGCCGACGACTGACAGTGACTGACTTACACAATGACAACAACAAACATCAGACACAGAAACTTTCCTCTGTCTCTGATTACCAAACACACACACACACACACACACACACACACGTCTCTTCACTGTGTGTGATGTCATCACTGCGGGGCAGATGGGAGCTGTAGTTTTTTGCACACTCATTAGATTATGTTGAACTCTGTGTTTGAATCGTTACTGAACTCTGCTGTCGGTCTTTTAGATTTAATATCTTGAATGATTGTTATATTCATGTATATTATGTTGATTTTCTCTGTATTGAAAGTCTTTTTTCACTGTTTAGCTTGTTTTTGTACAAAACATTTCATTTTAGCTTTAATCCTGTGTGTGTTTTGTTTTCATTCATCCATTTATCACACAAAACACACCCCCCCTTTACCTTTTCCTGTCTTTTTTAATTAGATCTGATCTATAACAGCATATACGGTTATGAACACTGTGTATGGTTTTGCTCTGCAAACCACAAAGACATAAAAACAGTTACTGTGTAAATACTTTGTACAACGATACGCTTTATTTTACAGCCCTGTTTCCATAATGTTACTGAGAACTTACCAGTAAACATACCATTTAATATGGAATGAGTTACTATCCTGAAAAAAAGGTACTTACTGAGTACTCAGTTGTTGGTACCCTGCAGTTTTTACACTGTTAACATGACTTGTAATCTACTCTACTCTGTCACACAGAGATCACATAGTCATTTACTTCCTGAAGCAGTTTGGTAGAACTTGTCTTTACTGTGTAACTTTTCAGCATTAAAAGCTGAAATATACCTCATATTTATCACATTAGTTTTATTAGTTACATATTAAAGTTGCAGAGTATGCAGGTATATATTACTTGTAGTTGTTACATATTTACTATTAAACTCTGAGTAAGTACTGCTGTACATATATATGGACTTGCTAAGTATGTACCAGAAAATTGCTTGTAAGTACATATTTACCTATTAAATACCAGGTACTGTACCTTAAAAAGTGTTAAACCAGGTGTGGACACTAAGATAACCCTCACCAATAGCTCACCCAGACCAACAGCTCCAGCTCAGCTTCAGTACAGACAATCAGACAGACCTACAGTACAAAGTGTGGTCTTTGCCCAAACAACACCCAGTTACTATTGTTTTGTACACAGTGGCAAATAAAATTTTGTACATACTTTGATATCACTGAGTTTTCTGCATGAATTGATAAAAAAAAATATTTTCTTCTTCATCTAAGTCACAAGTACAGACAAACACAATGGGCTAAAGCTAATAACACACAAACAATGATAATCTTTCATGTGTTTATTGTTCCCACCAATTAAACATTCACAGTGCTGGTGGAAAAAGTCAGTGAACCCTTGTATTTAATAACTGGTCAAGAACCATTTGACAGCAATAACCTCAAGCTAGTGTTTTCAGTAGCTGCAGATCAGACCTGCACAGCGTTCCAGAGGAATATTGAACTGTAGGAGATCTTGATAAACTTGAGAATTCATTTTTCTCTTGATGATTCCAGGCAATCCAGACACAAAGGCAGCAAATCTGCCCCAAACTATGATCCCTTCACAGCACTTCACTGTTGGGGTGATGGTTTCATGTTGATGCAGAGTCCTTTACTCCACAGTGAGCAGCAGCTTCCTCTGTGGTGTCCTGCTATAGACACCATGTCTGTTGTTCATGTGTTAGTAGGTGTGAACCATGACTCAGCATCAGAAAACTGACCACTAATTCCACATAATGGTCATTTTCCCAAATAAACCTGCACACTACACAAACAGTGTCAGCGGTGGGCAGAATTAAATCAGTGGGCACGGCGGCCTGTAAGATTTTAATAACCTGCCCTTTGATCAGAGCATTACTTTACGAACAAAGTCATAACATAACAGAGTCCATCCTCCTGTCCTTCTGGATGTAGTGGTTGATGGGGGGGTCATGCTGCTGATCCTTTGCTTTTTAAATTAATCAACAATAGCTTCTCAAGCGTTCTGATGGTGATGGGCTGACTTGGATAAACTTCCTAAATCACAAAATCCATCTCTGGCCCGAGACCCCCTCTCCGCCCCCAACAACAAGTGGTCCCAGCAGCAGAGCCTTTTTCTCCTTGGTGAATCCGTCATCCAGGGTGTCGTGGTGTAATTGCTGGAGTTGAAAAGCCTCTCAAAAGCATTTTAAGCACCAAACTAAGCTCTGGTGTTGGTCGTCCTTCACCGATTAACTCCAACTCTTCATTAAAAGTTCATCTAGAAAACGGTTCAGATAATAAACTCAGCGATGTCCTCCTCACCAGCGGCAACGTTACTCTCAGCTTCCATCACGAACCAACAAGCTCGCTAGCTTTCTTCACTAACTTCGTCTCCAGAGCCTGTGTGTCTCCACAGCGGGCAGAACTTGTCATAAACTTAGCCATAACAAAGCCCACCCATTAAAAGGGATATGATTGGTCAGTTTTACTGTCATTTGAAGTTGGTCTCTCACTGAATTACTATTGCTTGGCCTGCTGTAAATTAATAGCTGGACCACCAATCACCATCATTCTTTCCTGCAACAGCAGATACAGCAAAATTCCTATAGGGGGAGACAAAGGGGCTTCTCTAATTTAACCCTTCACATTCCAGTACATATTTAATAGGCAGGTTTAAAGGATTTATTTGTTTATATTTGTGTTTGTTTAGATGTTGATTGTCAAAATATGATCAGATAAAACTAGAACTGCTCATTTTTAACATATTATTTTTAGAATATCTTAGTCCGTCTCTGAGGACGTAGAGGGTCCTGACGGTTCCCCTCTGTGTGTTAGACTCTTGAACAGAGATGTAAACCAGTTCCAGTGATTCCTTTAAGCCTTTAGCTGTTACTGTACCATATTTACTGATTTACTTACTTACTTTTTTCTGCCAAGCCTAAAATACATTTTTAACATTTCAGTCTCTTTTCTCTAAACACTGAACCTTTACTAGTCCACACAGGTGTTCACCCAGTGACCATGCAAGAGAGAATTAGTATCATTACCTCTCTGTCTCTCTCTCTCTCTCTCTCTCTCTCACTCCTCACACACACACACACACACACACACACACACACACATAAACACAAATGCTTTTAAGACTGATTTTTGTCTAAATGTGTTTTTTTCCTGGTGTGTGTTTTGTAGGTCTGTTTGTATTTGAGGTGTAATGATAATGTATCTGATATCATTTCTGTCACAGGCTGTCTCGGTGTCGTCTCTCAGAGAGAAGCTGTGCAGCTTTGGCCTCAGTTCTCAGCTCAAACACCTCAAGTCTGAGAGAACTGGATCTGAGTGATAATAGTCTGTGTGATTCAGGAGTGACGCTGCTCTCTGCTGGACTGGAGAATCAACACTGTAAACTGGAGAAACTCAGGTATTAATTCATTGTACTTTTCTGCCTCCTTAACATACTTTGCTGTTTCTGTGCTTTATGTGTTCATGTGTGTGTATGTTTGTGTGTTTGAAGGACAGAAAGAGAGACATGATGTTTATTTGTACTTGTAGTAATTTTACTTTTCACTGAAAATATAAGGAGTAAAAATTAGTAGAACAACAAACTACTAAGTATTCAGAGCTGCACTTACTGAGAAGTTTAAAAGGTGTATATGAAATACTTATATGTAAATTTTGGGTACATACTTTGCAAAAAACTTCATGAACAGTATCGGGTATAACTACTGTATAACTACATACTCTGAATTTAATGATAAATGTGTTATACTTACTAGAAATATTTATTGCATAATTTTCAAGTTCAGTATGTAAGTACAGAGTAACTAATGTGAGAAATATCAGGAATATTTCAGCTTTTAGTGATTCAGTGTTTCTGTAAGTATATGCATATGTGACAGAGGAAGTAGATATAAACTAGAAGTAGAATAAATTAGATTAAGTACCTTTATTTCAGTACAGTAACACATTTAGTATTACTTGGTACATTTACTGGTAAGTTCTCTGTAATAGTGTTGTAACATTGTAGTAACAGAACTGTAAAATAATCTAACTGTGTGCATAGTAATTACACACCACCCACATGTTCTAATAGTGTTTTTTGTGTGTCTTTGTGACATGCAGATCATATAACCATACACTTTTTTCACTGTGTGTGATGTCATCACTGCGGGGCTGATGGGAGCTGTAGTTTTTTTGCACACTTTTTAGATTATGTTAAACTCTGTGTTTTAATCGTTACTGAACTCTGCTGTTGGCCTTTTAGGTTTAACAGCCATTGTTTGCTAATCTAGATCTGATCTGTAACAATATGTATGGTTATGAAAGCTGTGTATGGTTATGGTTATGAACACTATGGTTATGAATACTGTGTATGGTTATGAATACTGTGTATAGATTTTCTCTGCATACTACAAAGAAAACAGTTACTGTGTAAATACTGTATACAAATTTACACTTTATTTTGCAGCCCTGTTTCCATAATATTACTGAGATCTTATCAGTAAACATCCCATTGAATGAGTTACTATGCTGTAAAAAGGTACTTTCTGAGTACTCAGTCGTAGGAATCCTGCATGGTCTTTACCATGTAACTTTTCAGCATTAAAAGCTGAAATGTACCTCACATTAGTTGTGCTAGTTTCATATTAAACTTTCAAAGCACCAAATATTTATTTATTGTTTGTAATTATTATTAACACAATTAAACTCTGAGTAAGTACTGTTGTACATACCTCGCACATACTATGTATTTGGTATATACCAGAATATGTACCAGAAAATTACTTGTAAGTACATATTTACCTATTAAATACTAGGTACAGTTTCATAAAATAAAGTGCTAAAGAAAACTGACCAAAAAAGTATTTAAGCCAGTAGTAGAAGCTGCAGATGTGTAAGTGCTAATCCAGGTGTGGTCACTAAGATAACCCTCACCAATAGCTCACCCGAACCAACAGCTCCAGCTCAGCTTCAGTACAGACAATCAGACAGACCTACAGTACAAAGTGTGGTCTTTGCCCAAACAACACCCAGTTATTATTTTTTTACATAAAGTGGCAAGAAAAATATTTGGCTCTTTTGAAGTTACTCAGTTTTTTGCATTAATTGGTCATAAAATGTGATTTTGTCTTCATCTGAGTCACAACTACAGAAAAACACTTGTGCTAAAGCTAATAGCACAAACAGTGATAATATTTCATGTGTTTCTTATTGATGTGCACAGCAGTTAAACATTCACAGTACTGGTGAAAAAGTCAGTGAATTTTTGACAGCATAACCTGTAGGGAGTGTTTTCAGTAGCTGCAGGTCAGACCTGAACAACGTTCAAGAGGAATATTGGAACATTCTTCCTTCTACTGAGCTTCAGCCGGTGGACAGCCACCCTGACCTGAACTGTGGAATACCTTGATAAACGTGGGAACGTATAAACATATCAACCATATAAAGCCCATATCAGTAGTTTCAGAACTTCTGAACATCAGCACCTCCTCTTTTACTGTTTCAGACAAAAGCTTGGTTGATGCTTCTGTGGAGCTGAAAAAGTTTTCAGAGTCTTTACTCATGGATGTTCTTTCAGTGCTTAGATCAGCACTGGTAGATCATCTTATTCATCCTAAAGGTGCTGGAAGGGGTTGAGGTCAAGGCTTTGAGAAGGTCAGACAGCTCCTTCCACACCACATTCAGCAAATCATTTCTTTATGGACTGTAGTTTCTGAATGGGTCATTGTGATGCTGAACCAGAAGAGTTGGAACCACATCTGTCTGTCTGTCTGTCTGTCCATCTATCTATCTGTGTTTAACTGCCAAGCCTGCAGAACAACTTACACTTTTAATGTCTTCAGTTTATTTTCTTTAAATACTGAATCTTTACTGGTCCACACAGGTATTTAACCAGTGTCTGTGTCAGAGAGAGATTAGTATCATTACCTCATTCTTCCTCTCTCTCTCTCTCTCTCTCTCTCTCTCTCTCACTCAAACACACAAACAAATACTTGAACACTTGAAATGTTTTTAATACATCACGCTTTTTTCCTCTCCTAATGTTAAACTGTGTTTTGTGTTTTACTAAGTTAACAGTTTTAAATGCTGTATTGTTTCAGCTTCTGCACTAGTTTTGTATTGTATAGTTTTGTGGGTGTGTCAGTTATATATAACATAAAACTGTCTTGCTGCATTTGTTTATGTCAGTGTTCATATAAAACAAGTACATCTAGTTTTATACTGAGTTGCCATTTGAACAATTGATAATAGTTTTGGTGTGTTAATAGAAGGTCAGTTATCAGACATGAGTTTGACTGTAAAAATACACCATTAACACCATTAGAGGATCATACAGAATGAATTCAATTATGTAGTGTGTAGTTTCTTAATTGCTTGTGTGAGATGTTGGTGTTTGTATAGATTGTATATGTAGTTGTGTGTAGAACCGTAAATGTGAGGACGTTTTCTTCATCTCTCTACAGATTATTTGACTGCGGGATTACAGAGGAAGGCTGTATAGCTCTGGGTAAAGCTTTGAAATCAAATCTATCACACTTGAGAGAGCTGGAACTGGGCAGGAATAAAACCAGGAGAGTCAGGAGTGAAGATGCTTTCTGCTCTACTAGAAGATCCACACTGTAAACTGGAGAAACTACAGTAAGTTACTGACCTGCTTTCACATTACACACATACACACACACACACATACACACATACAGATGCACACATACACGGAAAAGACAGAAAGAGAAAGGGAGTGAGAGAGGGAGTGAGAGAGAGAGAGTGAGAGAGAGCGAGAGAGATAGTGAGAGAGAGCGAGAGAGAGGGGGAGATGTGTAATGGCTTTGTGAGGTGGGTCTCATTGTTCTGTCTTGTGTGTTTGTGATGGTTTGTACAAAGTTTGCATGTTGAGTCTGTGGCTGCAAAAAGTGTGTTCATATCTGACATTCTGTCTTATTCTATGTTTTACAGCATCAAAGACCACATTTACTGGTAGGAGCGTCTCACACTCAAGGCTTATGAGCAGAGGACGACGTCTCATAGAACCAAGTCTTGGTCATCAGGTTTGGACTGTTGTTTTCCTGTATAACAGTCGCTGCACCTTGGATAGAACGTCTGTCAAACTCCTGACATTTGAGGACGACCTCACATTGTTTAGCAGGACACAAGGTGCTTCTCCTCCTCCCAAAACACCTGGACTCAACATCAACCCTCTCAAACCAGTGGAAACGTTGACAGACTTTCATAAACTCAGTCTAGAAATCAATACTTTTTGATTTGCACTGTTTAATCATATACATAGTATACATGGTTGTAGTTTTCCTCCTCATGTTCAGTTATTCTGTATTTCGTTTGAATTTGATATGTACTTTATATAAAGCCTTTACATAATTGTATGCATTGTTTTTTTTCCCCACACTTTAATAATAAAAGTCTGTGGACATTACATGATGTCATCCAGAAGTTATCATTTCAAACCCCAGTTATGTTTACCAAGGGGTGGTGTGGTCTTCATGGTGAAAGCCTGAGGTCATCACAGAAAAGGCCAGCTGTGTTAGCCTAAGGTGATTCAGTGTACTTGGTAACAGCCTGAGGTCATCACTGTAAAACTCAGCTATAGACAATATAGTTTACATGGTAACAGGTTAAGGTGATCATAGTAAATCCCAGCTTTGTCAGGCTCTGGATCATTTAGTCTACATAACAGTCTGGGCTCATTATAGTAAGAGCCTAAAGTTAAACTACAAATATATGATTTTCATGTTAAAGTTGGTGAGATTAAAACCTTCCAAGAACAAACTAACATCGACTCACCAACCAGAGCAAAATGTTTTAAGCAGGATGGAGAAGCAGCATAAAAACACCCAGCTTTTCAGTCAGATAATATGTTTGGTTAAGCACAGAAGACTTTGGGGCACAAATCTCACAAAGCCTTTTCACAGAGTCCTTAAACAAAAAGGCAGAATGTATGTAACTCAAAAACTGACCAACCTAAATGTTTTACTTTCTCCTCAAGTTTCTCCTCCTTAACGCCATGGCAGTTGCATGTGGTGTCGCTATGACAACCAGCTACATTGATACTGTACCTGCAGTGGAAAACGATGTAGCTGGTACCAAAAGCAGAGCTGAGTTGAGTCGTATCATGAAGTGGAAAAGCACCATTAGTGTGATCTTTGCTCCATTTTGACTCTTGTGAGAAAACGCTGACATCAGTCTGAATGTCCACCAGGTGGCAGTAATTACAGCTGTTGACAGAATCCCTGAAAATTCATCTGAAACAAAATTCCTTTGAGGGGGAAAAGCCTCAAAAATCTCAGGACACCTAAAAGTCTTAAAAACATCATCTATTTCTTTTTTGGTTTGTGATTAATAAAAACACCACATTTTATTTTGAGGAAAACGACATCACGAACATATTCATGACAAAAACTAAAACAGAATCAACATCTACATGATCTTTAAAATAAATCCTTACTGCAGAGAGAGAGAGAGAGAGAATCGTATCTGTCTCTGTTCTCTCCATTTACAGGATTCATTCACTTTGTTTAAACAGTAACACTGAAAATCAAACTTTACTGAAAATTTTCAAAACTTTGTCGTCAAATGTTTAGCAGACAGTTTACAGAGCCATGAAGAAGCATTTGCCTCATATTGTCTTCTATTGTTGTATATTTGTCAAAATTGATTGATTCAGGTTCCTGGTTCCTCATGTTCTCATTGTCTTATATTGTATTATGTCTGAGGATCTAAAACCATTTAGAAACACTTTGTACTTCACACAGTCAGTGTCTCTAAATGAGGGAGTCATTTGTAGGACTGCACAGAATCTGCATCTGCAGGCCTCCAACAAGAACATCACTCAATATATTTCAACATTCAAGTTGCTTGAAAATAGTCTCAATCTATACTGGTATGTTGGTTCTAGATTGCAGAGCAACATTTGTAGAGGAAAAGCCCCCCAGTAAGCCCCTCTGAACATAAATAAGCATATTTCTCATTTCAGATTTAAGAGATACAGACAGGTGACAAATTAAAGGAAAAACTTGAATGAACAATTGGAGAAACATAACGAGTGCAGATGGTTCTAGACAGGTGTTCTAGATAATACAGTAAAGCATTTAATCTCCTATCAAACTCTGTGGCCAGTATGAAACACTGAGCAGCCCAGTTGACCTTGATTGTGGATCATTTAGGGGCGCAGATGGAGCTTCAGTCACACAGACGTCTAAACTGGACAGTGTTTTAATAGGAACAGAGACTAAAGTGACCTCTGCATTTAGATCAGTGTGAAAGACTTTAGTAAACAGGGCTGGTCAGTAATTCATGTTTGTGCATTATTGTGATCTGTAAAGTAGAACATGAGAGCAGATGTTCCTCAGGTGACTGAGAACGTCAATGAAGAACGTAGGGCTGTAGGGCAGGAACCCCTCATTATAAAGTCCACTGACCATATCAGAGCTCACTGGAAAAGTGATGGTCAGAGGAGTCAGTCGTCCTGTTAGACACCTATGGGAGATTTTGGACAGATGTTTAGACAGCGCTGTCCACCACCATCATCAAAACACCAGCTGAGAGCTCGACTTTTGAAGTTCTAAGCTTTAGAAAATAAAACCCTGATGTGGAATTTTGGCGGATTTTGGCGCAGAAAATGACGTCATCTGAATTCCCAGATCAGGACTAACAAAGCCACCAGTGTTTGTGGATGTGCGGTACTGCAGTCCGGAGCTCGAGCCGGTAGAAATCCGAATCGCTGACCGCGAGACGACTTTACTGCGGTCTCTGACCGGAAAGAAGCGCTTTCACTATTCACAGTCAAACCGCTGCAGAAAGGAGCCCGACTGTCCATCTAAACTGGACTCATCCTGCTGCGGTCATTGGGGACCAGCTGAGGTCAGTCGCATCTCTTCATGATCAGCGTCTCATTTGGTGACCAGCAGGAACGCGCGAGATGCGGAGTCGCCTTAACCCTCCTGCTGTGTTCCGGTCAGATCTGACCGATTCACAAGTTTCCTCTTTGAAAAGTGTAGTAATTTCCTCTGTTTGTCTTGAGGCTCCCTGACTTTGTTCACACGTGGTTTCTGAACACCTAAAACAAATCTGACATACTTTTATAAAAATGTGGCTGTTTTATGGAACTTGTATACAAATATATAGAAAACTGTAAATATGTCCAAACAGTGTACGGGTCAAGCTTTTTTGGGCAATAAATAAACTGTTTTCAATAAATAAATCATACCGGTCAGTTCTGACCGGAACACAAACGTTGTTATTTTGTGCCACAGTTTAGAAGTGAAAACTGAACTGGTTTAAAAAGTGACCTTGGTGAAGATTTCAGTGAAGTGCTCTGTGACCAACACGACAGTAGGCTTCATCTTAGTACTCGTTACAGTCAAAATAATATGTAAATGATGTGTTTCCTAAAAAAACGGGCGGTTTGAGCTAAATGAGGCCTGCAGGACACAAACAGCAAAGACAAGTTCAAAACTTACAACGTTCACAAGAGCTGAAGTTCATAAAACATCTACACAACATCAGGTGATGATATATGTGTTACTGTTCATTTAGAATGGAATAAAATGATCCGGTCTAAAGTGACCGAGAACACTATGAGTGTTAGCCGAAACGAACACAACAGGAGGGTTAATGACGCAAATCTAAAGCCAGCAGGTCAAATTACCGCACTGTGTGTAGAAGCTGCGCAGAGACAATTTATAAAGGAGCATAAATCATCACAAGCCTTCAGTACAGCAGAGCACTTTACTACATAATGAAGAGCAGCTATACTTCCTAATAGTGACCACTGTAGAACAAACACACACAGACAGATATATGACTAAATAATAACATCACTATAATCATTACAGATTAAACATCTATCATTATTATTCAATCATGTTTATATAATAATAATAATAATAATGATAATGATAATGATAATAATACTAATAATAGTAACAAAAATAATAATAATAATAACAATAATGATACATAATGCAAACCAGTCGAATTATTTTATGACTATTATTATTATTATTATTATTATTATTATATAAATAAAATAACGCATAAATCATATAACATTCTTTAATTATTGAATAAATAAATACATATAAGTAAATAAATAAATAAATAAATAACAAAGACATAACTTGAATTATTATTACTATTTAATTTATTTATTTTACAATAATAAGAATAATTACTCTAATAATTATTATAAATAATGGAAATAATTGTATTTATTATGATTATAATGATAATATTTTTTATTTTAAAATAAAAATAAAGCATAAATCTAATTATTTTATATGATAAATAAATACATAATAAATGAAAAATAAATAATATAAAGTACATTAAAAGATCAGATTAATAAAAAACAAGGTTATAAAATGTCTTTCCCGCTTAATGAAGTGCTGAGCTGTGATTGGTCTGTTAGTAAATCGTTTCTGGTTCACTAAACAACA